ACAAATTGCTAGGAAAATGAAAAATACTAAAACTAACTTAAAAAGAAACAGCAAACCTAAACAGACTTACACAAGGAAAGAGATTGAATTAGTAACAAAACAACTTCCCACAAAGCAAGTTCCAGGTCCATATGGCTTCACTGATGAATTTTGTCTAACATTTAAAAGAGAATTAACACCAATCCTTCACAAAATCTCCTGAAAAATAGAAGGAAAGAGAACATGACTCAGCTCATTCTATTAGTCCAGTGTCACACTGATACTAAAACAAGACAAAGACATCGTAAGAAAACTGCAGACCAATATCCCTTATGAATGCTTACCCAGTACTAACAAATCAAAACCAGCAACATGTACAAAATTGCGCACCAAAACCAAGGGAGATTTATCGTAGGTATGCAGAGCTGCTTTAACACATGAACTGACACATTGATGTAAAGTGTCATATTAATAGAATAAAGGGCAAATACTTCACGATTTTCTGCATAAAAAGTATTTGACAAAATCCAGCACCCATTCATGATTGAAAAAATACCCTCTCTATAAACCAGGCATAGGAGGGATTCTATTTATATGAAATATCTAGAATAGGCACATATATAGAAATAGAAACAGAATTAGTGGTTGCCAGAGCCTGGATGGGGGGGAGGACAGGGAATAACTATTAATGGGTTCAGGGTTTCTTTCTGATGATAAAAATTGTTCTAAGGTTAGAGACTAGCGGTGTTGTACAATTCTCTACTAAAAAACACTGAATTGTCACTTATAAAGTATGTATTTTACATAATGTGAATTATATCTCAAGACAGCTTTTATAACAAAATAAAAGACTGTAGGGGTAAATGAGTGGAAGTAGTATTCTATAGAGAGATGAGGGTAACTTTACGAGTGGTGGCAACAGTTTTAAAAGGAGGCGAGAAAGTCGTTGGACTATAGGGATCTCTGAGACTCAGCCAGACATGCTGTTTAAAAGAGAGATGCTGTGGATGAAACCAAGATTTGTGGCTTTAAGGGTTGAAACAACAACAATGATAGGAAAGCTACAAGTATAGTTAATTTTAGAAAGGAAAATAAATTTGGTTTGGGACATAATGAGTTTGAGAAAATTAATAGATAACCAAGTGGCGATATCAACTAGATAGTTTATAGGAGTTCAGACTTTAGGAGAAAGCTCTGGACTGTAAATGGAAATTCAAGAGTATGTGACTGCATGAAAGAAACCATCGAGAACTAAGTAAAGAGAACCCCCCAAAAATGAAGGTTGGAGCATTCCAGTATTAACAGGTTGGGGGCAAAGCAGACAGGGATTCAAAGAAGTGGGATTAGATTAAAATCAAGAAATTATGGGTGTTTCAGAGCCCAAGTGAAGAAAGTTTCCAGGAAAAGTAGTATTTCCTTGTTATATTCTTTCGTAGCATGTATCATCTCTCCAATTTTATACTGATTTGCTTTCTGCCTGATATCTGTCTTTACTAGGCTGTGGTAAGCTGGATTATAATAACAGAGGCCATGTGTACTTTAAGTGACTCTGAACAAGAGCGAGAATTCACTTACTCAACAAAAAATTTTTAAGAATATACATGATGTCAGAGGCTGTTCTGTGTTGGGCTTTTATGTTTCTGAACAAATAAAAATCCCTTTGGCTATGGAGTGTTACTTCTAGTGAGAGGATATAGACTAGAATTCCCTTCTAGAACTTTCTGTGGTCATGAAAATGTTCAGCTGTGCTACTCAATGTGGTAGCCAAAGTCGTATGTGGATAAAATGTGACTAGGATGACTGAGAAACTAAATTTTAAATTTTATTTGATTTTAATTAATTAAAATGTAAATTTAGATAGCCATGTGTGGCTCGTGTCTACCATGTGGTGTAGACAGCAAACAGTAAACATAGCAAGTAACTGAACCTATTAGAGACAGGGCGAGACTTGGAGTGGTTGCAATCCCAATAGGATGGTCAGGTGGGCCTCACTGAGGAGGTGACAGAAAGCCCCCTGCTGTGTTCAGTTGTGTTGAAAACTTTGCACCGATGAAGGTCCGCTGGAAACAACCATGATTTCGTACTTTCAAGTGTATGTCAGTCATCCACAAAATGCTGTTCCTAAAGACAGGATCTTATTCCTGCCAGATGTTAGACATTTTTTCTTGAAGGTTTGATTGTTACTGTATTACATAACTGAGTACAGTTCAACTGTTCATGACTTCATCCAAATATTTTTAACAAGCATTTAAAGAAAATATTTTCTACTTGTTCTTTCCATGTATTCACCACCCATTTACTTTCCATTCCCCTTTCATTTTTTTTTTTTATGCAACTGCTCATTTCTAGGCTCTAAAGATCCTCTAATAGTCAAACAACGGGGCTTATTTCAACATCTTTTAACAATACCACTTTAGAAAAAACCTCTGTTCCCTTGATTTCCACACTTTTGTGTTCTCAGTGTCTTTTTTTCTTTTGTCTTAACTATTGCAGTGTCTTTCAAACTAGATAGATTTTCTTCGGCCTCCTCTTGTTCAGTGTGCCCACTGTTATAAATGTGACGTAACATTTCTGGCACCATCGCCTTGGACCTAACACTCTCCATCTCGGGGTCCTTCGCCGAGTGCCTGGCTGCTGTATATATAGAGTGAGAGAGGCAGGAGTGTTCGCATCACTTTCAGGTCTTTTTCAGTGCAGCCTCTGTCTTTCTTAACATACTTCTGCACATATTAATCTGCAACAGACTTTTAACAGTAGGCTTGATTGTTATTATATGCTTCCTTACCCAGTAAAGAATAATTTCCATGACTTAATTTAAACCTTTCTTGAAATTATTTCTGTGTTCACTTTGGATATCCTTCAGGCCCATTTATTTTTTTTGGTGAAGTGTTGCAAACATTCAGGAAAGTACAGAGAATAATGTGATTTATTCCATGACCAGCTTCATCAAATCTTAAGACTTTGATGAAATTGATTAATGTCAATTTTAGGAGAAGGAAAATATCAGAAATGTATTAGAAGCTCCTTGGTACCTCTCGGCAGGTTATTCACTTTCTCTCTCCTCAGTTAGTTGTCTTCCTGAGTTTAACGGTTTTTCCTAAGCACCTGACATTCTTCCATGTTTATCACACAAATACACTCACACATTTTTGTTCTCTCTTTTTTTCAATGTCGCTCTTCCAGGCTAAGGAAGGTAATTGTATTTGTCACTCTGGGCGAAGACCACCTTAACATTTCCGTTTCTCTGCTCTGGGGCATTTTAAATAAATATCTATAATTACTAAACATTTATTGTATTGTTGATTGAGTAAATGTGTGATTGATTTAGTGCAAATAAGGGGGGAAAAACAAACTCGGTTCTCATTTTCTTGATTTCTTTCTAGGAACATATATAATTTAGGTCCAGGATTGGTTACATAATTTGTGAGGCCCAGTCCAAGATGAAAATACAGGGCCTTTTATTCAGAAAATGATTAAGAATGTGAAAATAGTAAAAACAGAACATTAAACCAAGCATGGAGCTTTTCTGAGCACAGGGTCCTGTAGCTTGCGCATCCATGAAGCTGACCCTGTGCAGGTCTTTGGAGCAGGTGGCAGCTGAGAATTAACTTCATAAATACATTTATGTTTCAAATCAGTTTTATGATAAAATTTCATAAATACAGTTTTTTGTAATGGAATAGTATACTAATGTAATAAAGTTGAATGACTATGTTTATTTGGAACAGTATATCTATGTTTTTGGCACAGACTATTCTGGTGAATATGTAGCTAATGAGAAAAGTCTTTTATTTCAAATTTATTGTCCACTGTGGTATAACATTTTGGTTTACCCTAAAGACTCAGGAGCCAGACTGCTTGAGTCATTGAGCGTCATTCCTTATTTTTCTGTACATAAGTGCACACACACATGCACACACACATTGGGGTGATAAGAGAATATCAATCTCATAGGTTTGTTATGCTGTTTATTATATGTAAAGACTGCTGGAGAAGTCTACTCTATTATTTCATACTCTTTTTATTTCTTAGTTTTGCCTTAGCAGATACAATATCCCAGGCTTAGTTTACTCTCTCTTTCATGGTTATGAATTAATGCCCCATATAATAGTAAACATATTTCATGGTGTTGTTTGTCTAGAATTAAAACTTCGACAGTTACTAGATAAGACATTCAGTTCATGATGGTAGAAATTAATGATGCATTATTTTCTATAAGAGCATTTAAAGGGTTTTTCTTTTTAAATCTTTCCTTTGGACTTTTCTCCCTCACCATTTGCCTTATTTGAAATCACCGGGTAATAGAGCAATCCAGTTAATCATGTTACAGTTAATAAGTTACATAACTATAGAATCTAATTCAATCCAACTAAGATGAATGCTAAGTCATAGCATTTCAGGCATTCTTAAATACATTTGAAAGCACGCTTGTTTGGAAGTAATCCATTGTGATTAATATATGTTATTTGCTTTTATTTTTATATCACTGAATAATAAAATTTTTATATTAATGTGAACTATATTTATTTGTAATGATTAACAATCTGTGTTGTGCTTTATTGAGGAGATGCACTAATTTACAACCTACAAACTAAGTCTCTGCCATCATTAAATAACATCTGAAATATTTAGTTTAGAATCAAGTTCAGGACTATATCAAACAGAAAGCATACTAACTGTACTGCATTTTCAGTGCCGGTGGAAAATTTATTGTAAACCAGCTCAGTTACGATGGATTCTAATAAAGCATTAACTTTTAGAAATGTGCTTACAATGGAATGCTCTAGTCAGGTATAGTTTCCAAGTAAGAAGATCCTATATTTCTTGGCATTTTGCACTTAGGGTTGCAAGAACCTATGAAATAAGTGAGCTATTTTAGTTGATTCTGAAAGTTGAAAAGAAAGTAAAAAGCAATATTCCTAAATATCAAACAGTTTCTAGCCATGCCATGAATTGACCCCTCTGTCTCCTGTGCCTCTCATTATATAATATCTCTATTCAATCTCTTTTTCTCATATCAGACAGTATTACTGAAGTCTTCACTAACATCTACGTGACCAGTTTTGGCCCTGTCTCAGATACAGATATGGTGAGTTTTCCATTAAATAGTATTTTTACTTTATATAATGTGAAGTTGGGAGGGATAATTCTTTTTTAGAATAAGCAAGTATTTTTAGTGTTACGGGATTATGCGACTGTCTCCTGCCTATTTATTCTAGCTAAATGCATGTTGTATTTGTGGTGCACCATTGTGGGTTGGGTGTTCAGATTAGTCCTGTATATTTTATATTTTCTTCAAAACTTGTGTCACCAAAAAGACAAGAGTTAAAAGTATTGGTGAAGATGTGGAGAAAATGGAACCTGTGTGCACTGTTGGTGCGGAGGTAAAATGGCACATACAGCCGCTGTGGAAATACTGTGGAGGTTCCTCAAAAATTTAAAAATATGATCCATATGATCCAGCAACCCCACTTCTGGGTGTATATCCAAAGGAAATGAAAATAGGATCTCAAAGAGACATCTGCACTCCTATGTTCATTACAGTGTTATTCACAATAACCAAGATAGAGAAACATGGTATATATACACAGTGGAATATTATTCAGCAGTGATAAATAACAAAATCCTGCCATTTGCTGCAAGGTGGATTGGCCTCGAGGGCATTATGCTGAGTGAATTAACAGAGAAAGACAAATTCCACATGTATCACTTATATGTGGATTAAAAATATTTCAAACTCATAGAAACAGAGAGTACAAATGTTGCCAGGGCCTGGGGGGAAGGGATAGGGAGAGGTGGGTCTACGGCTGTAAACTTTCAGCTATAAGATAAAAAAGGTCTGAGGGTTTAATGTAAAACATGGTGCCTATATTTGATAACCCTGGATTATATAATACAAATTTGCTAAAAAGGCCTGAGGAGAGGGCGGGAGCTGGGTAGAGGGGGTCATCGGGGGAGGGGGGAAGGGGACATCTGTAATATTTTCAACAATAAAGAAATTTTTTTTAAAAAAGAGTAGTACTTAAACATAATCACACACACAAAAGATAAATAGTTGAGGTGATAGATGTGCTAATTAACTAGATGGGGGAATTCTTTCACAATGTATAGATAGGTATATTAAATTACCACAATGTACATTTTAAATATCTTACAATTTTATTCGTCATTTATACCTCAGTGAAGCTGAATTTTTTTTAAGGGAAGAAAAAGAAACTGTGATCTTGGAGGTAGTGTTTCCATGTATGACTTCCTTTCATAGAAAGTTGGGTAATTTCTATATTTTTACAAATCATGAATTCTGAGAAAAACAAAGTAAGGAAAATAATGGAAAAAAGCTTTATAATTCTCCCAGAATTAAAGTTTAACAGTCAGCGTAAGGAACCCACTGATGTCAAGATGAAATCAAGAGCAGAGAATGCTGATGTGCGAAGTTAGGACTTGAAGGTGAAGGACAACATGCCCCAGAGCTGGGACGGGCCCCTGTCCGCGTGAAGTGGTCATGGCCAGCCAGTCTTGCTGCCTGTGTGTGTCTGTGGCCCTGTCTGCTGCTGTCATTTAAAGTGTGTGTTTATGAAAGCGGCTTTGAATAGTTTTCAATCTGTTCTGGAGTCCTATGAGCCTATGCTTATTGTATTTTACGTGATCTACAACCTATAAAATCATGTGTTTTTTCTTTGGTTGTCACTATAGACAAAAAGGTATTTTAATAAAAAATTAAAATGAGAAAAATAAAATAAAAGAAATATTGTTTATATGCAAAGAAAGAAATAAAAATAAAAGGTTGGTAGCTTTTGTCAGATAGGCAGTCATTAGCAACAGAACCAATTTAAACCCTGAGTGGAAGTTAAAATTTGGCCTCTTCAGTGAACTTTGCCTAAGAACCTTCAAAAGAATTTAGCAGGCTCAAGATTTTATTTCTTATTTTGGAGGCCCCTGTCACATATTATATTAAACATTAAAATGGACTTATATTCCAAACTATATGTAATTGAGTTGAGTGGAATTGTAATTAGCAAAGTTTAAAGTGCAAAATCACTTACTTTGTTTGATTTTCTTTTTCTGTTTTGGGGTGTACATGTATGTGAGTATGTGTATGTGTGCACACGTGTCTATATATGGAGATATTTCTACAAAGGAAATATATATTTAACATTTCTGAGGATCTTGAAAGGCTTGTGGGCCCCTGACAGTTTTCTAGCGATACATTCTTCTGAATATCCCAGCCTAACACAGGCCTGTAGAATTCTCTTTGGTCATGTTCAATTTTCTACGTTATTTCCCACCTTTATTTATCTTGTTTACTCAGTCTTCCCAGTCCTTTGCTTGGAGGAAGCCTGATTAATTGCAAGACCACCAAGTGAGCACCTATGTACTCCATAATCAGAGTCCAGTCAGAGGAAGGGATCCACAACAGTAATTTGAACAGGGAAAATCTAATATAATTAAGTAGTTACTGGTCCAGAGTAGTTAAATAATGAAACAGGGTAAAAGAAGACAGAGCAATGCAGAATTAGGAAATGCAGAAGGCAACGGCTCCTTGCAGGGGCGAAGTATCCTGAACCAGGAAGAAGCTGAGACCTTGGCAGAGTACCCTGCCTGCCAGGCCAGGCTTTAGGCCTCACTGGAGAGGTGTTGCTGCTCCAGCAGCCTCTGCTGGTGAAGAAACATGTGAAGGGCCTTGCTGAAGCTGGTGTGTAAAAATACGCTGCCTGGAGGCTGAAAACTCGCTGCATGCCAATCCTTTGAAGCTACACCAAAGGATGAAAATGCACCTGAACCACAAATAGAAGCAGGAAGAAAAGTCCCTTTCTTTTGCTATGATACCAGCATATCCCTCCAGTACTCTACTGACAAAGCCAAACACTGCGCCAGCTGGCAAAGCACCAATGTTTACAGAATCCTTCTGCAGTGGCACAAGGAAGGGGAAAGGAGGTGGAACTGGAGCTGAGAGGCAGTGCACTGATAATTGCTATCCATAATAATGTGTGAAATGGGGAGGACTTTGAGTAAGAGCCAAGAGGTAGTTTGATCACTCAACAGGTACTGTTTGTTACTTGTCCAAATCTAGAGAAGCATGATAAAGCTGGGGAAAATGAAAGCCGAATGATCTATATACAAATGTAACACAGACATATACAAATATATACACTACTCATATTGCAAATCTATTTAGTGAAGATAGAACTCAGTTTAAAAACATGTATCTATCCCGTGAAAAGAAGTGATTTCGTCTTCCTATATCAAATGGAGTAATTTTCAATCTTGATATTATTTTTGCTAGAAGGCAAGGTAATGAGGGAAAGTTTGAATTTATATTAGCATAACATGGCCAGGTCAAGAAACAAAACTTGGCTGTGACACTTTAAATAGAAATAAATTTATTATGATGAAGAAGGAAAATATACCCATATCGTTATCAGCCATATATAAAAGTGGCTTGCAGAAGCAATTAGTCAATGGAAGAAAAGCAAAGAATAAATTTAATTTTACTTTTAGCAGCTTAGCAGATACACTCATTTCTATGCAGTGTGTGTACCAAGTAGCAAAACTTAAACCCCTAAGTCTCCCTGTTCAGGTCAGTGATGTAGATTTGTTGTGACATTAGCCTGAGAGGAAAAAGCAGCATAGCAGAAAGAATTAAAAACCAAAAGAACACACACACACACACACACACACACACTCTCTCTCTCTCTCACACTGTATCAGAATCATTAACCAGTGTCATTGTCCAAAGAAAGTTACAGGTCTAAATTATAATTAAAGATCCTAATTACAGTGTCTGCAATTAAGTTTAAAATCTTTTATTTCAACATTTCAAAAATTCATGAGTAAGAAGGTAATTAAACCTTGGAATGCACTAGTAGCTGACAATGGACAGAGTTTGAAGTAAGCGTGTGCATTTTGTCAATTGATAACTCCTTGTTATTTTTTCTCCTTGGTTTCTATATAGGATGACTTTTGCCATATTAGTAAACACTTTCACTGTGTGCATGTTCTTAAGGCCTAAGTGGCATCGCCGCCAGTTACTGCACCAAAAGCTAAGCTGAGAACCTCACCTCAAATGGTTATCTCTTGCAGTGCTAAGGGTTAGGGTTAGAACTTGAACAAGAAACTTTGACATCATCTCAACATTTCTGATTCAGAGTTTACCGTTAGGCTATTCAGAAGAAACCAGGCAGGTAAGTGGTGACCCTGGTTTATTGACCATACTTTTCTATGTTATCAAAACACAGTGTGTAGTATCTCTTAGCTTCTCCAGAAGCTATTGGGATATTATGTTGTTCAGTAGTTAACATGATAGGAAGGTTTAGAGAGTTATTATAGGTCAATATTTGGTCAAAAATTGACACTGGACTTAGCCGTTAACCTTTATCAGAAGTTGTCGTTTGTAAACGTGGCTAGGTAAAGAGACCTACTGCAAATATGGTAAATACTATATATCAAAAGTAAAGATATAATGTTTGCTCACTTTAAAGCTGTAGAAGGTGATTACTGGAAGGTTATTGATATTTTAGAAGGATAGGAATTAGACTTGGGGAACATTCATTCAGCCAACATTTTTCAGTACCCTCCTGTAGTTTTTAAAGATGGTTCTCAAAATGAGATTCATAGACACCTGCATTGGAATCTCTGGGAGTTATTTATTAAAACAATTATTTCCTAAGCTCCTTCTAAAATCTGTGAAATCATGCCAGTTGTGGGACGTGACAGTCTGTATTTTAACAGATTAAGTTATTTGAATAAGATGCAGTATTGGGGATTGAGTGAAAGGTGGCATCATTCACTGGGATATGAAATAGGAAAAGTTTTATTTGGTTTTGTTTTGGTGTTTAGGGGACAAGTATTTATGTTTTGGATGTACTGAGCTGGTGTGACAAATTTAATTAGAGATGTGTACGTAGCAAGTGTAGTTCAGGAGCTCAGGAGATGGGCTTAGAGTGCAGATGGTTTGGGAGCCACGTGATGGTTGCTGAGACTATGGGCATACCTAAACTGTGTAAGGAAAGAGATTAGCATGAAATGCTCAGACTCCTACAGAAACTTTAGAAAACAAGAGGTTAAAAACGATTGCATAGTCCGGCCAGG